GAAATAACGTTTCAACAAACAATTTCCCACATTTTGCGAAGTGTCCATTCCTCCCATTCAATGTTGACATCAATAAATAATTATTTTGTCGTAGTAATATTATTAATGAACGATTGGTATGCAACAGTGGATTGATACTGATGAAAAAATAGTGCGTTGGCGAGTGGCTGGTTGATGATATCGTGGGTATCGATGTTGAATGAGGACTTGAAACCGGATAGAGCTGTCAGTGGATGCCGATTACTATTATTACTTACGCCCATCGTGTCTGAGTGGTTGTCTAGGCTGTAGAAAATTCAGCAGGTTCTACCAGAATGAGGAGTGAAGATGTTGGTTGAGCTGGTTGGTGAGGTAATGAGGGTTATTGCTTGTGGATGGTGATATTTATGGGACAGGAGATGTTGTTGGATGATGGTAGCACATAAGGCTTGTCTCGCATCGTTACTTCTCGTAGCTCGATCGATAACGACCCCATTGCAAATATTGCGAATGGGGGAGAGCAACCCCCCGGGTATCACCCTCTTTTTTTTCTCTCTTTCCTGGGTGACTGTTAGGTGATCCGTTTAGAGTGCATCGGTCTTTGCATTAAAAATAGAAGGGATTTTTTTTTATCTACCTCTTGTGCGCTTTTAGCCTGGTTTCTGTTTGTGCGACTTGGTGTTTTATCATTTTTATTTTATTTTATTTTTTTTCGTTGAGGGGGCACTCTGGTAATCCAATGCTGGAGGATTTCTTTTGTTCTCGAGGGTTTTGTTGGGTCCTTGAAGAATACGACTGATGGAGTGTCGAGGCTCTTATGGCGTCAAACTTCCGCTTCTTGCTACACGTGACTCGACTACTGTTTTTGGTATCTTTCGATTTTAATTGAGGATGTGTGAGTACTTCTCGATTTTTATGGGATATTTATTCGGTGATTGATGACGGTACAATTGGAGTTGTTGATTTAATGGGAGAGTGAAGTGGGGCAGTTCGAATGGACTCTTGTGATCAATAGAGAGTAAAATTTCGATCTTCAGAGATTAAACTGTTAATATGAATAATCAAGTACTTTGACAATTTTTTTTATTGACTCCTACTAACGACAGGAATAAATATATTTGACTTTATGAATAAAATCTATTCGAAAACCTTTCAATGTCACAATCGTAAGACTGACTGTCATATTCTCCATGAAATTAAAAAAAATGGTAATAGTTTGAGGGTAAGATGAGACTTGAATGAAACCTCTGATATTTAATGAAAAATATCGAAAAGGATTTAAAGGGAAAAAAGTGGAAAGTACTTGGTTATCCTGAAAGCAGTTGGTTCAGTTCTTACGGTTGAAGGAGATGACTGTTTATCTTGGACTGATATCTGCCAATCGGACGTTATGAAGGCTCTCCTTCATGATTTTTTACAGAGGCCTCTGTGTACACGAAGAATGTACCAATGTGTCTTCAACAAAGAATGTTTCTTTTTTCTCGTATTTCACACAAGTTGACTCAAGTTCTTCAGAGAATTGTGGATTCAACAACGATGCAAAAGCTCCATCGTGTTTAGAGTCATTAACCTACATCAGGGGACCTAGAAAACATTCGTGAGATTCTAGGTTTTTCACTCGCTTTTGGAAAACTTGTGTTTATTCTGAACCGAGGGGATAAAAAAATCCCATGAATTTCAAACGGAATAGGAAAAAACTTCAGTGTGAATTTCTGCTCTGGAAATGTTGCACAACCTAGTGGGGATAAATAATGCACAATGCAAACGTGCCAACAGGGTTTAACGAAATAATTAATGAAGCATATGGTCGTGCGAAGAGGGGAATCCGACGTTTCTGTTATGCGCTTAATCAGACTGTGACCTAGTAATTATTATCCCGCGTGAACTCACAATCTTCTTGATGAGCGAATTCTTGAGAGAACGAGTGTGGAGAGGATACTCGGGGGTGTTGACGAAAAATCATTCTGGAAAATGGGGACGGAAAATAATTGTGTAAATTCAATGGCGTCAAGGACATGCTTGGAGACCACTTTACAAGTCTGGCTACTTGTGTGCCTCCATTGTCAGGGCGAATGAACCTGGGAAATAGTTGACAATATTCGATTTAAAAATATAGAACTCTATCGTCTGAAAATCCTTATACTTTTAAATGCAGTTTCAAAAGATTGGCGTTTCAAAAAAATTTGTCTTCGTATTTTATCTGGGAGTTCGTAGACCTTCAACAAACCTTTTCACTTCCACAGATAACATATCTGTAGATGTTACTTTCATTCGTATTTGATGTTGATGATAGCTAATTATAACTCTATGAGTTGAAAATATACATCTCGCACACACGATCCATGAAACTCGCGTCATTGTACGCGATCCCGTAATTCATTCATAGGGGGAGAAAAACCGTCATGCGTGAAAGTCGTTTGAACGCATATTCAAACAATTTTTCTGTAATTATCAGCGCCAGTCGTATAACGGAAAAAGCTAATTGTAAAAATCGTTGAACTCGTGAAAAAAAAGCAGCGCATGCTCTGTTTGATGTTGTTTTTAATTGGAAGAAATAACAATAATAATATGTTTGGGTAATTTTTTGTACTTCAGTGTGAATCACACGTGACTAATGCTCTATCAATCTGGTATGTGGGACGTGACCGGTTTTCCGAGTTGAATTTATTGTTTCGACGTAATCGTTTTGGTGTCTCGGTAAAAATGATATCTTGACTAAATCAAATGGCCTCAACACGTTGTCATGAATTGCACAGGCTTTTGGCACGAGTCTAACTGCTCTGAAAATCCCATTCAAGTTATTGAGGTCTTGTGCAAGCGCCAGTTTCATGTCAATCCTCGGGTGGAAGCATTCAACTTCATTTAAAGATCATTCAGATGACGTTTCTAGAATTATTGTTAAAATATCATAAATCACATCATCAATTCCACAAGAATTCCTCCATTATTGAATTCTATTTCCGTCTGTCATCTTCTTCACGAATTCTTACAAAGTAAGAATAATCTTTTAAAAAGAAAAATATCGAAAATTATTGGGCAAATGTGAATGAACGATAGGATATCCTCGTAAAATTACTCTCACAAAAACGATTTCATTTTTGTTCTCTATTCCTCATATTTTCTTCCAGTGATTCATATCCCGTGAACTGTGCGTGTCTAGTATCTAGTCTCTACTAATTTCTTCTGAAAAATGACGGTGAATACCATTTATCTTGTTCTACCACTTCATTAGAAATTAAAACGCAATAAAAAGAACAAATTAGACTCACAAGTATTCCGAGAACTCTTCAATCACCTAGGAGTTCTCACAAAGTATTACAATTTCTTCTTGTAACGAGAAATCCTTAATTACGGTGAAACAAATTATTTATCGCATGTTGCGACAAATTTCATGAGGGCAACTCCATTTTTTCGTTCCATCTTCACATTTTCTTTTTGAATTTTTCCTGTGGTTTGACGGCAAGTTAAATCACAATAAAAAGGACTCATGAAGATTCTTAGAAGTATTCAGTCTCTTCATTCTTCCTCGACTTCTTTCTATAACCGGAAGTGCGTGTATGAATGACGTGTGGGTCAGTCATTGCGTCGCAATGCAGGCAATTTATCGAAGGAAATGTTCACGATTTGCTCGGTTGGCTCCAGCACGATTTAACTTCATATCGATATGTACCGAGATCAAACTTCAACAAGAAAAATTGTTCATGACGAATGGGCTCAGTGCAGATTCCCCTGGGGGGAAAGATTACATACAGAATTAGTGTTTTCGTGCCAGTGGAGTTGGATTTTCTTGGGATATCTGACATTCCCTGGCATTTCTCACCGATTTCTCTGCCAACTTCGGTTGATCCATACATTTAACTCGGTAGGCTGAGGGAATACAGAAAAAGTCAGGGAAAAACGCGAAGAAAATAAACGTGAGACATTATCAGCACGTGTGACTTGGAGGAATCGTGAAAGACGTGTGCCGAGGACAGAAATGAACACGTGGTGAAAGTAAATATTACAAAATGTTGTGGGTTAACTCAGTCTGATAATAAGTCTTTATCTAATGAGTCACACTGTTGATATGTTTCTCACGTACCGAGGGATTTTTATTGCACCTATTATGCACATAAGGACGTGAAGTTGGACGGATTACTGGAGTTATTTATGAGGAGAGGGATGAAAGAAAGGGATAAAATAGCACCTGCAAAGACTCATGTAATCTCTCCTTAGTTTATTTGGTTTTGTGATTTTTTAATGCGTTAACAGGATTTTCTTTAAAATTCTCTGTGTACTGACAGCTCAGGGTTTTAGGGAGAAATCAGTGGAAACTTTCACCTTCGAGTTCAATTATGTTGTGAAAATTCATTGGTGAATCTAGCCGTGGATTTTCAATTAATAGAAAATTCTCTGTGAAACTCTCTGTTGATATTTTCATTGATAATGCAAGTGAGTTTGGAAATTGTCAACTCCGCGCTGATTAAATATTTAGATTTTCATTAAACTTCCGATGAAACCTAAAACTTCATATTCTCCTCTAAATCGGCTTTATCATAAATGCCGCATTTGACTTTCCCGGAAATTCCGACGAATTCTGTAATAAAAAATTCAAAATGCTTGTAAAAAAATCGGCAGAACCTGCCAAATTAATTTCAATTGTTTAAAAAATTCAAATTAAGTCTATTCTGGAATTCCTGCGGCCTAGAAATTGATGATTTCATTAAGATGTCATGATTTCTCTCCTTTGACACCGAATTGAATGACAATCGCGTTTCAAATACAACTCAGCTGTCCATGAAATTCAAATTTTTTATTGTAACAATGCGTGGGACGATTATCAACTGAATTAGACTCGATGTGGTCTCAGTTACAGAGTGACTGTATCAGTTGTCACATGAATTTTCTATCGGTCAATAGGGAAGTGGTGAACACGACACTGATAGTGATTCCAGGGTTACTGGGGACTGACGCGCTGTTATAGTTATTAAATAGTTCAATTAATCTGTCTGTTCTGATGCATCAGACTAGAGAATCAATTGAAATGATTTTACTGGGGTGTAATTAAGGGCTTGGAACATTTCCGGTTTTTACGCACCTGTCTCTGTGCAGGCAAGCGGTCACCGGTGCTATATCGCGTGTTCTTTTTTCATTGCCATTCTCGAACGGCTGTCCCTCAGGCAATTTTACATCACAGTATCATATTCGTGTTAACGACTCGTGAAAGCCAACTGAATATTCGTGAAAGTCTCGAAGAATTCGATATATTATTCGCGTATTAATAAAAAAAAAATTTAATCGAGCATTTGTCTATCTTAAATTTGGTTTTACGATTGCGGGGACAAACGTTTTGTTTGTTCATGAGGAGCGCATGAAAGTTCAATACTCTTGAGAGGGGAAAATAAAAATGTTGAAGCTGTTTGGGACTCTCTCAGCAACGCTTTCCAGAAGGGCGACGTTTTAACGTGGGATATGGTGAAGGGGTCTATTCATAGATCGTCGAGTTATGGAGGAAAAGAGGAAAATAAAATCCCGGGATTTACCGTACTCCACCGAATTGTCATGGGATTTAACAATTCACTGTCTGTTTTGACGCCAATGTCAGGTGGTGGTTGAACTCATGTTCACATTCGTATGCAGATACCTGCCAAGCCCCTTCCGGTTCTCTCCGAATTTTATTGTTTTTCCTTGTGGAGGGTTTGGCTTTCACAATTAACGAGGATGAATTAACAGTTAAATAATCAGATAAATTTCGTGCGGGCTCTGCATTTCCATACCTGTCCGATGATTTATGACTGTGCTATTAATAGATGTGCGACTTCATAAACAAATATTTGAGGTTAAATCCCCCGGGAATTTCGACGACCGTTGAACTTGAACATCTCAAAAACTCAATAACGATAACCAGGAAACTGGACTCATGGGGGCACTGGTCAAGGGAACAGGTGGAAAATTCATTGGGCTCACCTGCTATTATTGTATCGGAGAGATTGTATTTTGCACCACCGGTTTTTCCGACTTTTGGAAAATCCTTGAGTTTACGACCGCTTAGTTTCAGCTCACCGCTGAGGTGTGCCTCCTCCAGGATTCTCTCCAGACTCCTGGTGAGCTGTTTCTGTATGTGGCCACTCATATTTGACGCAACCATCGCCATGTTACATTTTTTAAAAACACTTCACACGCCACATCGGCTGCTATTTTCAGGCGATTTTTTTTTTTCGAGGAAAAATCACGTTTTTATCTCTTTTCCGCTTTTTTTTTTCTTTTGGAATACGGAGTCTACTTCGTAGACGAATTGTTGTGCGAGTGGCTCCACTCTCGCTTGGCTTCGGCCAGACTGTCGTGGCGAGGTTGTGGTATTGATGGTGGGGGTCGGCTGCACGACCATTGGCCGATGCCACGGCGGAACTACCCGACGACGCGTGACACACGACGCTCGGGTGTATAGTGAATATTGTCAGAGGGGTAACCTCGGCCGTAACCCCCACTCTCCGAAATCCCCACTTGTGGCCGTCTTCCCCACCAGTCGAGCCGAACAAAACCGAAGTTACTTCGTCGGTAATATTCAGTATATCGATACAATCCATCGAGGCGCGCGGGATCGAGTGTATCGAATTCGGGTGTGTGTAGATGTGTTCGAAACGCGCGGGATCGAGTGTATCGAATTCGGGTGTGTGTAGATGTGTTCGAAATATTCAAGTGAAGATTCGTTTAGTTGTTTCCGGTAATTTGAGAATTGGCATTCGGTTGTGCCGACAGTCACAGGATGAAACCATTTTTGATTGAGAAGAAGAAGAATTGGCGGGATTTGGAGGAATCGGTTTTTCTTGGCGCCGAAGGGGCTGAAGAGGTCTTTGTTGGAGGATAGCTAGGGTTGAAATGGTAATGTAATCATTCAAAATATTTACATTAATTCCTGAATATGGGGGACGATGATGGAATGTTCAGGGACAAGAAAAATTCGGAAACAAAAGCTTTTTTGTACGCGTCTGTGGCGTTGATGTAGGATTTTTAGGAGAGAGAAGAGACATTTGCCAGAGTTGAATTTTTTCACCAACCAAAGGCACATTTCTCATGATTTCGTAGTTATAAACAATGGTAGAATCCTCACAAACGATAACAATTGAAAAACAATTGCCGTCCGATGCCATTCCTCCAGTTGGCCCTCTGGCGGCGAAAAGAGGTTTATTTCAAAAATTGAATTTTTTTTCAACTAACGGTTGATTTCAAAAATTGAATCATTCTTCCGGTTATTACACGACTGCTCGTCTGCCTGAGGGTAAATTTGAATTACCTTCATTGGACACAAGGCGACGTGAACTTAACAGCTGTCGATATTGTGAGAATTCCTCGACGAATGTTACCATTTCGTCCGGATTTAATCTCTCGTTCGAAACTCTCAAACTGAATGAGTAAGAGATAATAGAAAACATGTTGAAATTTCGTAATTGGAATTGTTATTGGTCTGCGTGAACGCAGACTGAATTGATCCGGATTTTATCAGCGGGATGACCCGACGTCCTCGTGTGCATACGATAACCCCATTAATTCAGAAAAATAGATAATTTCATCAGGTCTTGTGGTCGGATTTAAAATCATCCTCTCGTTGTCTAGGTTCGTTTCCTAATTATCGTCTCGTAATTATTCACAAAAGCAATATCTGAGTACAAAATGAAATCTCAATGCAAAATTCTGGTAGCAATAATGGATTTAATCGCAGGATATAATTCCTCACTGGATTAACACACACGTATGGTATTTCTTCATGGAATTTTATTGCAGGATTGAGAAACTTCAATCCTTCAATCCTTGTTGCTCTTGCGTTGGGAAATTGCTATAAATCTTCATGATCAATAAGTCTCCTCTCACATTTATCCAGACGGATTTCAATTCATGCTATCGATTCCTGACTTTATTTACAAAATCTTAGATTGAGACTCTTTACAAATGTATTACATGAGTATACAATCATATCTTATCAAATAATTAATAGGATTTTCGCAGAGGTTTTGCCCCTGAAGAATAATCATTGAACGTAGAGAAAGAGATGTTTGTGGTGCTTCTTCATCCATTGTTGGAATTCCAATGTAAAAATTAATGCTATAATCCAATTGGTCTTTGTCCTCGAGAAATAAGTGGATCAGTTGTCTTCTGGACACCTGTTTTCCTGTATCTCCTGGAAGAATAAAACGAGAATGGAAATCGAATCGATTCAGTCGAATAGTCCATGAAACTCACCCGATTACGACGCTCTCCGTATTTGGACCAGAAGGTCACTTTGCAGGGCAGTCTTTGGCCAGTTTTCTGATTGAATATCGAACACGTGCTGAATGGGGGTGAATAGAGGTGGAGGGAAATTGCTGGATTTATTGTACTTGGATTTTCCACTCGATGAAGTCCCATAGAGTCGTTTATGTAGCACACGTCGTTTGTACAGAGGGTATTCTTCTCGATTTCACGGAGTTCCTGGTCTTCTGGACCGGAATCAGTGTATTCGGTCGATGGCCATGCATATCGCGTCTGCCTCACAATTAATCATGATGAATCATTAATTCACTGGTGATTAAGTCTCGATTATGATAATCTTTATAATAATCTCATCAGAATTGTTTTCTTTCGAGGGAAATATTTGGATTCTTCAATTTCAATAATTAATGAAACATCAATTACAATTATTATAATCACATTGATAATTACGTTTCTAATATTCTTGGAAATACTTTTGCAATTGATTTTGTATTCATTTTGATTGAGATGTGATTAATTGAGGGTCGAGCGACGTCAAATCGTCAATTAATTGTTGATTGATATATTATTTTAATCGATTTGATTTGAATGATATCTATCGAGTGGAATAATTTATGAGACCAATCACCAGTTAAAAGTCATTTCGCTGAATTTCATTTTGTTGAAATAGTGAATGATTTTTCCAAGTAAATGAATCTGTAGAGGAATGAATTTTTTATCGGCGTCGATTGATTTACCTCGCGCAATTCTCCCTGAAGTATTTTCATGACACAATGGGCATCAGCATGATCATGAATGGCTGAGCCATGACCCTCACCCCAGCACAACACCATTAGGTTGAATCTCCCATTGCCCTCGTCCACCAGATTCCTCGTGTACCTGAAGAATCGCATGTGCCACACAATTAATTTTCATAAACACTCGGCATGAAAAATTATTCTTATATTAAATCGCGTCCACCTCCAGGTACCCACGTAATTGCCTAGTTTCACCCATTTCTGCGAACATATCACGACGGGCAATGATATAGTAGAGGAAATTGCGACTGATTTACTTGAGACATTCACTGAGTCCTGATAATTACACGAGCGTTCAATACGCGGGGAGGGAGAGAGGAGGCAATTGTTCACGAAAGTAAAACTTCGTACATGGTTTAATTCTACACTTGTTTTTCATTTTTTACATCGGATTTTCTCGTTCAATCGGTTTGCACAATGCAGGGGAAAAGGATAACCTTATGTGATAAGGAAGTTTTTCGCTGGGTTGTTTGTTATCAGCCGCTAGAATAATTACGCTTTCAAATGTTGAATTAAGACTCAAGCACTTACGAACGTCAAATAATTTGTATTTCAACATTATTATTGATGGGTCTTTAATAATAGGAACGCTGAAAAATGATAGGATATGTGGTGAAATAGACCGAGAATTCCAGATCTTTCTGGCTTCAATGAGATGTCAATGAGAAAGAAGACGATTTAGTATTCACGTTTATTATTCCTGAAATGAACCTGGAAATCTAAGACTCTTCCTCAATTATATTATTATTGAAACTGCCAAATATAGCCCATTCGGCTTTTTACATTTTCAATTAAAATCTTTTTCGAGTTGAAGATAAATTAAATATAGAACACTCCAATGCTCCAAATAAAGTCAATATCAATTGTATAAACAATTTTAAATTTCACTGCGTCTGCATTACACCTAGTTCAAAAAATTTTATTGTTGTATTTTTCATTATTGAAGTTATTGAAATTTCTACTAGAATTGTTATTCGAATAAAAACTTATCTTGAATGTCGATTTTCCTTCAACTTCAAGAAAGGTTTTTTTCTTCACACATTCTATTTCGCTTCCTCAGACCCGTTACATTTCTCGTCCGGGAATCGACTAAAATCGTGACTAGCCTCCCAACATCCCCTCTAGATTCATAGTTACCTGTAACGATCAAACTTGGCGTATTTCTTCCAGTCCTGTGGATTACTCCTGTAGGATGACATGAGTTTCTGAACATAATCGATATCAACGACATCGGTATCGAACGCATTATGAAGCTCTTGGATAAGTTCCACAAGTGTCAATCCCTTATCCGGTAAATCACTTCTCAATTTATTGAGTACTTTGCTGTAGGCCCTAGCTTCTCTGCTACTCAAATCCATTTTTAATATTACCCACCCACACTAAATTCGCAAATCTACTTGCGCCACTAAAAAAAAATCACTGGTAACCCGTAATTTCCGTTGAAATGACCCAACAAATCCAGAGAGGGATTGTTCATCCAAGTACTTGGTTTATTCAAGACTAACAGAGGTCGGGGCACAGCATCTTATATGTCGCCAACTAAAAGTAATCCCCTACTCCCTGTTATCCGCACTTTTAAGAGAATCATACACACGATATCCATTTCAATGGAAAAACAGAGAGGCAAACACTGATTCGCTCCCTCTTTATCTCAAAGACAAACAAAAAAACTATCACTTTTGTTCTTTGAATTAAAAGTGGGGAAAAACAAAATAATTTGAATGTCAGTACTGTACACCTCAGGGAAGGCAGTACCGGAGATTACAAGTCGACACGTGGTATATGTTCGTACCGATATGCGACGAGTTACCATTTAAATCATTTGTCGCTTTTTTTTCTTGGCCAGCACACCGCATACTGCAGGTGCATGCTGAAGGTTCTAACGCTACCACTGACTGGCTATTGCACCTGTTGAGTCTAAAGAGCTCTGCTTCCCTCAGTCGCCAATTTCTTCGGTTATTACTTCGTGGAAATATTTACCAGAGGTTCTCAATCTGTGACAGAATGTCACTTTCCCTTTTTCTGGGTCTTCGTTTGAATCTGATACATGTTGGAGATTAATGGAACTTACGGCTTATCAAAACACGTGTGCCTCCACTATTTAATATACGTGATAGTGTTATTTAAACTCTTGATAAATATGGAATGGTAGAAACATACGTGGAACGACCTTCAGGTGATTGTTATTTTTCCTGGGATTTCGTCAGTCAAGCCAGTTCTTGGGGGGTCTGTGTCTCGGGGCCATAAACTCTTTTGTCGATTGCCCATTGGTCATTCTCTTTGGTGATGGACATCTGCAGCTCCTTGTTTTTTTCATTCCAGTGCTGTCGTCGAACTCTTCACGACTCTCTTTGAATCTCCAGTTGCATCTGTTTCGTTGGGAATTGGTCAGGGAAATATTCTTCAATTTTCTCGGATATAGCGGTTTACCTGCATGGCATAGTTTTACAGTAGAAACATTTCGCCTGGGGCCTCTTATCTCTCCGACAGCGACATGGACTTGTTCGGCAATTGTCGCACACTGCTAATGTTTTTCGGTTAACTCGGGGGCAATTGCAATCGGGGGGTGACTCATTGCGATATTGTAAACTTGGCCTTTCTGCTATCGTACTGGAATTTTAAGAGATATTTATTCGATGGGTCGATGGAGGAGCTTTTAATTTCCTCTCATATCTCCTGATTTAAAAAATTGCACATCATTTTTTTCCCAAAATCATTGAGTCACTAGATTTGAGTATAAATTTTCTTGAATGAAAGAAAAAATTCACCTAGGTCAGATTGGAATTGGAATTCGGAAAACTGGAATTGAGGGATTTTTTTGGCGATGGGAAATGCTTTTTAATGGTACAAGTTTGTTATTTGGTTTGTCTATTACCTCAGACATCTTGGGGATTTCGGACAGCAGCACGAAGTGGTGTTGCACTGATCGCAGCTTACAGAGTCACTGATTTTCTGTTGCAATTCGGTCATGACGTTGGAGAAGACGTTGAGCTTCTGGTATGGCAGCTCCTCAGAGCCGTACGGTTTCAACTGGTCGCACCGGCAATTATCCGGATTCTCTCGGTTGAATCGTTCTCTTGGAAATCGAGGTGGAATTCCAGGTCTCGGTTTCCAATTCCCTGAGACTCCGCTATTACTTCCGGATAGCATTGCAATTGTCAATATTTTACATTTATTTTTGATTGGGCAGGCGCTTGAAAAATTTCACGATTATCAATCCATCAAATGTAAAAAATTCTCTTGGGATGTTAACGTGAATCGTTATGGCCATAATTAATGTAAAATGGTATCGCTAAATGATATTAAGGTCAGACCAAGTTGAAAGCATAGTTTATCATCATCAATACGATGTGAAAAAATGACCTAATTTAACCCGAAATTTAGCGTGACATAACGTGAGTCATCAATCAATAAAAAAATCGAGTCGATTCTTTAAAAAATTACTTCGAACTTCTATTCGCACTTTAAAGGAATTCCGAAGTTTTACGAGAATTCTATTCGCATTGCATTGACTTCCATTACTTTGCCGAGAAAAAAAAATTCAGGATGTCCTTGTTCTATACAGAATGCCGGGCATCAATTATCCAACTTTTCTAAGAATTCTTATGAAAAAAATTCTAGCTCAATTAATAATATAAAAAAAATGTATAAGCATCCACTCAATAATTCTATAATCTTCAATAGAATGTATAGAATATATAAAATCTATAATTGTTAATAGAATTGACACAAAAATATAGAATTCAAATTTGAATTGAATTCTTATAGACTCCCAATAGAAATTTGATGGCATGATATTCAGGTGAAATTTCTCCCTCGAATGTTTTTATACGCGCCCTAATTATTATTTCACAATCCAACCCACTTGTTTTCGTCCTGAATCGACCGGCCTTTGCCGTAGGGTGACTGACAGTTGCAAAAATCACTCGGCATTCTACAATAGGAGCATTTTCGAACTGGTGCACGACATGTGCAGCAGTTCATGGGATTGCAGCACGATCCACATGATATTTTACAGGGTTTTGGGGGATTTGGTTGCCTGCAGGTGCAGCAGGTTGTCTCCTCCTGGCACATGCAGCATTTCTGCTCCCTCGGAGGCTCCGAGCATCGGCATGTCAGTTCCTCTTGTCTGCAGCATTTCTCGCAGCACTCGCAATTTGTTTTCTTTTTATTGCAAGATTGACAGCACTCTTCTTGCTGGGGTTCTTCTGCTGCGATGAAAGTGCAGGGAACAATTTTTGGCTCTTCGGGTTTACCACATCCACAATCTATTATCGGTTTGTCCTCTTTCTGAGGCTTTTGGAGACTCTCGTGATGTGGGAGGGCAACTTCTGGTTTTTGGATACTCTGGGGACTTGAAACAACTTCTGGTTTTTGAGTAATTTGGTTCGAGAGTTTTGAATCACTGAGGGAGGTTCGTTTTTCCTGTTGTTTTGTTGTTATTTTTGCTACGATTTTTGGCTTTCCCCGGCGTTTTATCACCGTCTGGGGACGGTTCAGAGAGCTGGGGGGCTTCGGAGGGGGTTTGCTCGTCGGTACAACTTTCGGGGGTGCTTCATTTATTTTTATTTGTGAACTGTCGGATTTCTTTGGCTCTTGTGGAAGATTACTTTGGTCGGAGTCATTAGCTCTTGGTGCTGATGAGCTGGAACGTTTCACAATCGTCATAGCTCGCTTCCAGGATCGAAGGAGGAAAGATTCTCGCTTTTTCTCCCCGGAAGGTATCGATTCCGGTACCGGAGCTCGCGACGTGTCACTCTCATCTTTTTGAACGGCATCATCTGTTGCTACCGGTTTGTCCTCCTCCAGGAATTCATTCGCTTCATTCACATCAGTTGTCTCTTCCGCTTCTTCTGCTGTGGGTGTCCCATTCTTCAGGGATTCCCTCGAGCCTTCAACGGAATCTATTTTCTCTTCTCCTTCGGCATCCGGACGACCGCACACTGTGAATTCTTCCTCGGGTTCGTTTGTGCAAATTGTGAAAATCTCGCGTTCAGGTTCTTCCCGGATTCGACAGCACGACTTCTCTTCTGGTTTATTCACAGGCTCATCACAACGGACCAATCTGTGATCCTCAGGGTAATTAGTCGCAACAGAATATACTTTCTCCTGAGGCTCACAGGGACAAGGAGGACGTTGGGGTTTTGGGGGCTTGCAGGAGCAGCAGATGCCCTCTTTGAAATTATCAGGCACATCCCTCTCAGCAGGGAGGAACGAGTAGTTCCTCGATGGTCTTGGGGTACCCCATGAATTATTATTATCATAAAACGATTCCTGATAATCAAAATCATTGGTCGACATTGCTGGACAGTTCTCAAGGCTGCAGCCATCGAGATAATCCTCACTGGACTCGATTTCATTCGAAGAATTCATTCGGCTGAAGGACGACGTCTCGTCCGGAGCCTCGGACATCCTCTTCGTGGACTTATCACCCTCCGTAATATCCTCTGGCTCCTCGCATAGGCAGTCGAGCTCCTGTGACTCCATTCTCTTCTTCCTCTTTCTCGTCAGTGCATCCATAAGTTTACTTGTCGATACACTCGATCCACTCGTACTTGACTTCATCTCGGATTCGGATGACGAGTCCTCGGAGCACTTGTCCTTCTCCGGGCACTTGCGTTTAACGTTTTCATTAGCCTCGGAGCAGATGTAGATGTTGACGTTGCCCGTCATCCGACGGTTGTCTGTTGAAACATTTGTCTTTTGCTTTGATTTTTTGTGCTTCGATCGTTTTGCCCTCTCGCAGTCCAGAGCTGCATACGCAGGACAAATCGAACGATCGCATTGGGAAATTGTTGTTTTACCTGGGGATTTCGAAGGTGACGGAGCTCTCGGAACTCTGGGAGCTCTGGGAGCTCTGGGAGATAATCGATTACGGGCTGGATCCATCGTGTGAGAGTCGAAGGTCTTCTCCTCGGAATTCAACAGGGATTTATTCTCTTTATTGCAGTCTTTCGTTGGGATCAGCTCCTCTGGGGATTCTGAGAGCTTTTTTTTCTCCTTGGGCTTCGGCTTTTTGGAAATCGATGGAGGTTTTTCTATATAATCACAGACTCCATCCTTCACTATATTCCTCACTGCCTCCTTGATCGAATTGTTGATCAATGTCGTCAGAGCCTTCGGATCTAGTTCGTTTTCTATCTGTTTCTGTAATTCCTTCACTGGGATTTCGTCGTCTGGTGATTCTGGATGTTCATCTTTTTCAGTCTTCTTTTTGGAATTTATATCGTTCTCTTCGACTTCTGGGGTTGCGACGTCGTTGATTTTATCTGGAGTCTGTGACGCCTCGTTTTCGTAAGTTTTCTTTCTGTCGATGGACTCATTTTCCTTTTTTGTTCCCTTTCGACTGAAGAATCGACCGAAGCGAGACCTCGGCGAGCCTTCGGGAGATTCATTTCTGGTTTCTGGCATGGTCTTATCTATTATTATCGGTTTTTACAGTAATTTGAGGGGTTGGGTTATTATCTCACTTGGGGATCAATTGTGATGATTATTTCAATTGGTGGTTTCGTTCTCGGAGTCTGCTCCGGACGTTTCTCGATGGGATTTCAATGGGGATGATGAGTCACTCCATTTTCGATTATCCTTTCGCTTTCGGAGATTTGTTGTCTACGAAAATATTGTTCCATTAACCAAACTGTCAGAGGTATGGGATACACTAGAATTTTTAGAGAAGAACGTGCGTTGAGAAACAGATGAAGGGGTACCTTTATTCTATCGGTAAACTGGGGTTTGGGAATCGATCGTGAAGGACCTGGGACTCGATAGGGATACAGTTGGATCAGTTCCTTGCTGTTGGGGGCTATCAAGGGGGTTTCCTCGTCACTTTCATTTAGTGGGATTCCATCTTCGCGGTGTGTTTTATTTTTAAATTCAGCGACTAATCGGGGAAAGACTTCTGTATTCTGATAGGGGAGGGCTTCTCCTCTCTTTGGCTGAATAAAATTATAAATCGGTATTTTTATGGTTTGGCTATTAACTAGGTCGATTTTTTTTTATTGTATTTTTTCGCATTTTGGGAGTTTTATTATTATTTACGCGGCAAATATACGTGAAATTAACTTTTAATTGATTGAAAAATTCGATTTTAAAAAAGTTCAATGTTCGTCCTCGAGAGCCGTATTTATAGCTCCTGGGGCGATCCTGAAAAAAAAATTGGAAAAATTCTCATTTTTGCTCCGATTGAATCCGAAGCTTCTCCGAGATATTTTGCGAAAAACAATTCAAAAACAAACGATAATTCATTTTTTTAAAAACGGCTGAACCGATTCAGTTAAATTTTGGCACAGACTTGACCCTTCGCAATGCCTATGGTGTGACAAAATTTCACCTTTCTCCGAAGAACTCTAGCCCTTCAACATGTCAGAAAATTGAAAAATCCAAAAATTGTAAAAAGAGCGAAAACGAAATCAAATTCCTCATACACGCCCACGAACTTACAATTCTCCATCTCGAAGGTTGTTCTCGGTCCACAACACTTGGTCCTGAGATTGGCTCGGTCTGAATCTCTTCCCAAGCTACAAATCTCGGGACAACCTCTCTAACTTCAGATTCTCTTCTATTTTTATACCCCCCACCGACCTCCCAACTTTGACACGCGCGTTGAGATCTCCCAACCGCGTCATCTCGACGGTAACATCGATGACAGAATTCCCCAAATTCTTCATCAACTAGATGTTCATTGTCTCCGCAAGTCCGTTGGCAATAACACTCTCCAAAAGTATCTGCATTTGCGAGGTAATTATCGCCGTCGAATGCGTTGGAGTGCAGCCAGTTTTCAACGTGGTATCCTCTCTCACAATCTGTAGCTTGATGACAGGAGCATTGTACAGGATCCTTCTCGGGAGGAACCTCATCAGACGTCTGAGTTGCCAAAGTTGTCCTTTCCTTCTGCTCTGTTTGCTCACCCTTATTCTTTCCCTTGCACCTCTTGCACTTCTTCCGCCTTCTGAATCGTCTCGTATACTCGCTGAATATCCCTCTCCCCAGATTTTTCGGTGGTGACTCAATTACATTTCCCTCTAGATTTCCTTCTTGTTTTTCACTGCCTGTCCTGAATCTTTTCGAGTACTTCGAAAATATCCCCCTGCCCTCTTTTTTCTCTGTGAGACTCTTTCTTTCTTCTCTCTGAGACTCAATTGAGTCGCTCTCGAGACTTGCTTTCTCCGCCCGTAGTTCTTCATCCTTTAATTCTAGGTCTTCATCAGGTTCTTTTACCTCGACGATTGGTGATTCCGGTTCTACATCGGTTTCAGTGGCTTCTGTCTCTTCCTGAATCAACGGAAATTTTTTGAACCCTCTCTTCGGTCTTTTTACATCGCCTCCATAGATCGCCAATCCTGTTGGAGGATCGGAAATTTGTGACGCGAACTGTCGCCCTCGATCATTTGTTCTCTTTCCCCCATTGCCAGTTTTTACAGCTTTGACAATTTTCTGCTTTGACTTTTCCTCGTGGTCGGGTAAAGTGGTCTCATCGACTTCGTAATATCTCGTATTTTCCGCCAGAGGATGAGATCCCACAGATCCCTCGTCACTTCCCCCACGTTCCCTATGAGAATCCCAATTCAATGAGTAGATATTCGGACAGCAGTGCTTCCCCTGCGGGTGACTCTTCGATCTCTTCGATCTTCTCGTTCTCTCGGGTAGATCATACAAATCCTCCACATGCTCTCCATCACTCCTTGATGTCCTACCTCGTTGACAGGGAAGACAAGACCTCGAGTTTCCAGACTGCAGCATTTTGATGACCCTCTGAGTGAGGGATCCTCGCTTGCCGGCTGTTCTACCCCCCATCTCTTTCCCCTCTCTGTTCCTGATGAAAGACACTCGATTGAGGGCATCGACGATTCTCTGGACCCTCCCAGGTTTCTTCCTCAGGATCTTACTCCCGCCAGCACCCAGAACCCTAGCCTCCGAATTGTCCTCCACTTCGATATGCAACACCTCCTCTTCCTCAATTTCTTCAGTCGACTGACACGAATCGGAGTCTCGAGAATTCGATGAGTCCTCATCACAGGGACACGAGGGTTTCATTCTTCTCAATCTCCTGGCTCTCAAAACAAAGCAGGAATTCACCCCTTCACTACTATCGCAGGTGTCTCTGATCAATGGTTCGTTGAAGATCTGAATCGTCACGTCGTCCCGGATTTTCTGAGCTTCGAGATCTCGATAAACCATTTTATCCACTGGAATTACTTTCCCCGGGGGCTCATCCTGGTATGATTGACTGTACTCAGACGAGTCCGTGGTGATGTCTTCAGTCACTTCTTCAGTCACTTCTTCAGTCACTTCCTCAGTCATTTCCTCACTCACCTCCTCGCTCACCTTCTCAGTCACCTCCTCAGTAACCTCCTCAGTCACCTCTTCGATCTTCTCATCCGATCGCTTTTCAAAGTCTGGAGTCTCTAATTCCGTTGTTAAATCCTCAGTCTCACCTTCCGTCGGCTCCACAAATTCCTGAATGAACTTGACAGTCCGAATCGGCTCGTCCTCAGAAGAATCCCACTCTTCACTCATGTCTGACATGTCACCGTAGTCCATCGGCGACCGGCAGATGGTGCAGAGATTTTGCAGGTCAGCGAAACACTGCGGACAAAATATCCCAACGCACCCTGGAGTCGGGCACTTGATGTGAGGAGATTGCTCGTCCCTCTCGGGGCTTCCACATAGCAGACACATAATCTGATCCTGCGGGAAGCATTTGTACAGAATCGGTAACATCGCCATGATCCTCTCCTTGCAGGTGATCTTCTCGATACTCTGATTGTCGCCGTTTATCCCGAATTTTCGACGCAGCTGTCTCCTCGCGAATTTTATGAAGCCTCCTCTCGATCTAGGTCGATCAATCATTCGATTAGGGGTCTATTGAAGTGATAGAACTAGAGTAATTTTCACATACAATCTTCTCACCGAATGATGTGATTGTAAAGCCAGACCGCTCTCTGCTTAGACCTCTCCGGATGGTAGTAACCCATCACCACTTGTCTGAGTCTCAATCCGTAGGGCTCAAAAATTGTCATAATCCAGCAGAGGAGAATCAGGGAAACGATCTGCGTATAGCGATCAAAATCCGGTGGTATAGGATCAGGTAAACAGGGCAGAGTGTCCACCTCGATATTAGCGTCGGAGGGGGAAAAGGCTTTGATAATGGTTCTGTACAGTTGTGCGAGATATCCATTCCCGGAGACGTACATTCCAACGGAGTTGACCTGCTGGACTTTAGTCTCAAACCTGCCATGGTATCGAATTGTACTGAGGATCCAGTAGAGGCTGTAGTCCACCATCATGTGGATGCAGAGCTTAAAGGTGGTGAGACTGAGAAAGACAGCGGACTTGGTCAGGTGAATTTTTTCGGCCTTGATGAGAGTGATTGATGTCAATGGAATGTATTTCCCTTTTTCTCTCGGGTTCAGGGGAAGAACCGTCTCTTTGTCCTGCTTAGCGCGAATCAGGTCGATGTGTCGGAGGTCTTTCGTCAGATATTGATTATCAAATCGCTCGTTTGTCAGCCACTTGTGACGATAATGTATCACTCTAGGGAAGAGATGATTCCATTTGTTATTTATTTCGAGTTTATCGAATATACTGTACCTAAGGAGCATGAATAGGACGAAGAAGCTTGTGGCGAAGCTCATCCAGTCGAAGAGAGTCAGGAATTTATCAGTTCGAGATCTTATTTCTGTAACTATTCCTGTTGCTACCTCCTCCAGTGTTTTACTCTTATTCGTCTCGAAGTGAAATGAATGGGAAAAGTCCACTTTCACGTAGAACATCGCTTTCATGTGCTTTGTGAATTTTTTAATCTCTGGAGAAAAATTATTTATAATTGTGGGTAATGATTTGCTGCTGTCGGTGAATTGAGTGCAATTACTTTTTCGTACAGCACCGACGATAGCATCCGATACGAATGAAACGAGAATGCAAATAAAGTCGAGGGGTTTGACAATGTAACACAATGCACCAACGACATAAGCCAGATTGCATACTCCCCCGAACAATGGGCCGAGTTTAGCGAAACAATCAGCAACAGCACCATCGAATACTTTCTGACATCTCTCGAATGGTGTACCGAGTTTCTTATTGCAGATATTAACAACGCTACCGAGCCACTCGAACACAGCAGTAATTATCTTAACTTCAATGATAAATTCATTCCGTTTTTATGGTGATTCAGAGTTTAATGGGGAATTAATGGGCGTTCATTAGGCATTCATTAGGCATTCATTAAGCTTACTTATGCTGAGGACCATTCGTTTGATCGCTATGAGCACTTGTTTTATCCGTTGCACCACGATTTTCACGGTTTTTATTATTCCAGCAACTGCATCGCGAAGGGCGTAGAACGGCTGTTTTATAAGATCTACTATTGTTTTTACCGCTTCTTTCAATTGCTCCTGTAGGGAAAATATTGTGCTATCAACATTTCTTTTAATCGTTCTGAAAATTATTTTTATTTTCAAACGATTCGGTTAAGAATCTACGGAGAGGTATTCTCCAGAAAATTTCTAGCCTGAGGAAATAATGGCCTTTAAATTAATTTTCTTCCGTTAAAATTCAATTTATTTGGAAAATGGAATTATTTTTCAGGTGGTAATGGAAATTTTAGGGGGTCTATTTCCCAAATTTGTAATCAGTGTAATTTCTCCTCTGCTCTTTATTCTCGTATCTAATTCCAAATCAATTGATTGGCTTACAGTTCCACACGCGAGTGATTCCGAGAGTACTCCGATATTGTGCAACGTATTTTTGGCTGGTCCTGTCAGTGCCAAGATGAATGCATAAGCCATGAGTGCCTGTCGACCCCGCTTCGAGAAGAATTGTGGTAGCAGCAGAAAAACAACACACCTGGATAGCAATAAAAAATATTGATATCCAGCAACCCGGTGAGTGATTACTTTTATTCATACTCAATCTATTGTACTGCTTACCGTACGCGATGTGAAAAGGCGAGGCCAATCGTCAGTATTATTCCGAATATTGAGCACAGTAGAGTAGCCGAGGAGAGAGTGAAGTTCAATTGAAACACGAAGAACATGAAGAATATGTAGGTTAAGAGCATACCCCCCAGGAAACCAATCATACTCGTCAGGAGGAAATTCTCGAATGTCCCCTCGGTTTTGAAGAGTTCAATTTTTTTGTGAAACCAAGTGTTCTCGGTACAGGAGAAACATCTTCTCCATAATTCTCGCATTTTTATTCTCAACCTGGAAGTTCATTTCAGTTTATCAAAGACTGAAGAAGATTTCAAAGATGTCACCCTTTCCCCTGAAATTTACGGTTTTTTAAAATTTTTTTGAACTCATGGTGGGATTAACGTGAAAAAATATAACATTTTTGCGTTTTGCGAGTATTTAATTATTTTTTAATTATAATGGAATAATTAATTACTCATGGAATTTCTATGCGGTGCGGAAATTTTTTTGCGTCTTTTCTAGACTTTAAAAAAAAATTACAATACTGTAGAAAAATTGTAGAAAATATCCACAATTTGCCAGAAAAATTTTAAAAATTTGAATTTTGGGTAGAAGGGTGTGGAACATCTTTAAAGTTTTTTTTTGACAAACCGACATGATTTTCTTGACTCGTATCCGCTGCCTCAAGGTGTAATTCACCTTTCCGCCTTTTGAGATCTCAATAGATTTGAGTTTTTCATCGTGATAATCCTCTTGCACCTTTCCAAGTTTTCTCGCGGTCATTACCAATTGAAAAAACGCCATCATGCACGCGATATTCGTTGACTATTGCTAATAAATGTTCATGCACTTTAACAATATCTGCCTCTGGGGCAATTTAAAATTCAAAATCAACAAGTGAAAATCGGGGAAATCTACTTAATTAACTGAGAAATTAATCCGAGCTTCTTCTACACACCTCCAGATGGCACCATCTGTCTCCGAAATTGCTAGATTTACTCTGAATACGCGATTCCTCTAAATTCACCGCGACCATTCGTAATTACATTCAAGGAGACTCAATCCTCTTACGACCTCTGGAATTTTCCAATTACTCATCACAAAAAAACATGATCCACTGTTTGCGCGGAAAAAAAATATTGTGGAACAATTACCAAACAATTCGCGTAATCATGAAGCGGAAATCATTTTCAGATATTTCTCGCTCGATATCGAGGCAAAAAGAGCAGTTAATTTTTTTCCAGTCATTGAGAAAATTCACGAAACTCAGGGAAAGTAAATTATTCAGTACCAAAAAATTATTTCTAACCACTTTCCCAAACAAAATTATTGGAAAACAATAATCCAACTAATTACCAACAATTCAAACCCACAGAAAGTTCGTAAGGGCATTAATTAATTCTAAAATTTATCAACCCATTAAATTTTTTAATATTTCACTTTCTTCGTCGGAGCAACAATTGCCTCCCGCGAGATTCAAATGGCAAGACTATAAATCATCAATAACAATTGATAATGAATTAGATTTCGCTGTCGGTTACTCGTAGAGTACAATTAGCTAGGAACTTTTATAAAAAATATTTGCCGGCGTATCGAACGGTTTCTATTCCCGTTGTCGATTGTTTAAAAAATTTCCAGCGACTACTTCGTACTATATATCACGCATTGGTCGATTTCGCGGTACATAGTCAACTGGCATGTACCGAATGACAATGATCCCGCATAAAAATTCCAGGCCACTATGGGGTACAGAGGAACGCGTGAAAGTACTAACTTATGCGGTATTAGCCTACTTCTGAGCGAAACTTAAGCATTATTCCGATTTTTTTTTTCTTCCTCTTTAGTTTGTGGTGAAAAAAAAAAACAACTAACGCGACTATTGCACTGGGGAAGGGGTTTCTATGTAAATAACAACGCATTATTATACAGTGGAGAATGCCCCATGCAGTTTATCTTATCTCCGCAAAAGAAATAGAAAGTTGGAGCGATTTCATTTTCACCAAGAATTGTGCTTGCTATTCTCCGTGTCAGACATACCATTCGGCTAAAAACGTGATGAGATCGGAATAGTCTCAGTTTTTTGGGCATTTCAAGATAGTAAATATCAGGGTTTTCACTCGAGTTGCATTTTACTCACTCCGAAATTAGTTTGGAGATCTTTACTGAGATTAATTTATGGCACAATTTATCCTGACGGTGTAAGAAAATTATTCCTGGGAAAATTATCATTATTTTGGAGAATTTTCATTCGACGGGTTTTTTATTTATTACAATATCCAATACAATATAATTAGCTCAATAATTATTAAATGCTTGGGTATAAACTTTTTTTAAAGTGCGTTGAACTAAAAAAAATTGAGATCTCCAAGATGTTGCTAATCACCAGGAAGTATTTTTTTCCGAATCTTCAATTTTTTGCTCCCTGCGATAACGAGTTTAATTATAAATTTTGAAAGTCAGGGGATTTATTATATCTGACACATGGAGATGAGATGTGTCTTCTGTTCAGCTCGGTAGATTTTCTGGTTCATTTTTTGCTCTAGGATCTCTTGGACTACATTAAAATAATCTCGTAAACCTCTCCTCGTACGGAAAATCACAATTACGACTCCATTTTCAATTCAATCAGTCACTTACGGATTTAACCGTTGCAAGTCACTTGCAATCAGTGGAATCTCATAAATTCCCTAATTGTTTTAGACATCAACTATAATTCCACGTGATTTCAGTCCAGAATGACGCGGTGATTTTATTAATGAAACGATCCACGGAGAATTTAATTTATTAAAAGCTCGATTCACATTTTAATCAATAAAATCCCCGATTTATTGAAAATTCACATCGAGTTCCTTAAATAAAAATAGCATAAAATTGATTATTCAAACATTACACATTCAATTCTACTCTTCTATTCTCAATATTCCGCGTTGGAGTGATTGCTTCCAGAATTTAAATTCAAGTGGTCACTCAATTTTTCAGACACGAAGTTTCAAAGCTTTTAATCACCCTCGATATATTTCTGTCCCTCAAATTTCCTCTGAATTTCAAATGATTTCAAAATTTCACATTTTAGAATCTAAAACCGAGAGTTCATATACTTGCAATTTTTTTTTGTATAAAAGACGCGTATTTCCTTCAATAGCACAATGTCGATTGACAGCTGACGTTTAATTACAAAAAAAAAATGATTCGATACAATATCACCGTTTCATGTCACGGATGTGCACGCAACACGTGTCCATTAATGTGCCAACATATCTCCCAAATTTAAATACACTTTAGCCAGCTCAAGGTTAGATATTATTTCATACAA